AAATTACAATCAGAGATTACTAGAAACAATTCTATGTACATAAACCAGTAAACCTGGAAGAAATAGATAAATTCCTGGACACTTGCACCCTCCCAAGACTAAACCAAGAAGGTGAAACCTTGAACAGACCAGTAACAAAGGCTGAAGTTGAGGCAGCAATTAATAGCCTACCAACCAAAAACAGTCCAGGTCCAGACGGTTCACAGCTGAATTCTACCAGATATAAAAAGAAGAGCTCATACCATTCTTTCTGAAACTATTCCAAACAATACAAAAAGAGGGAATCCTTCCTAAATCACTTTATGAGACCAACATCATCCTGATACCAAAACCCTGCAGAGACTAAACAAGAAAAAAAAATTGAGGCCAATATCCACGATGAACATAGATGCAAAAATCTTCAATAAAATACCGGCAAACCAACTGCAACAGCATATCAAAAAGCTTATCCATCATGATCAAGTAGGCTTCATTCTGGGGATGCAAGGCTGGTTCAACATACACAAGTCTATAAATGTAATTTACCACATAAACAGAACCAAAGACAAAAACCACATGATTATCTCAATAGATGCAGAGAAGGCCTTCAACAAAATTCAACAGCCCTTTATGCTAAAAACTCTCAATAAACTAGGTATCGAAGGAATATATCTCAAAATAATAAAAGCTATTTACGACAAACACACAGCCAATATCATACTGAATGGGCAAAAATTGGAAGCATTCCCTTTGAAATAAAGTGCTAGACAAGGATGCCCTCTGTCACCACTCCTATTCAATATAGTACTGGAGGTTCCAGCCAGAGCAATCAGGTAAGAAAAAAAAATAAACTGTATTCAATTAGGAAAAGAGGAAGTCAAATTGTCTCTACCTGCAGGCAACATGATTATATATTTAGAAGACCCTATCATCTCAGCCCAAAATCTCCTTAAACTGATAAGCAACTTCAGCAAAGTCTCAGGATACAAAATCAATGTGCAGAAATCACAAGCATTTCTATACACCAATAAGAAACTAACAGAGAGCCAAATCATAGCAAACTCCCATTCACAATTCCTACAAAGAGAATAAAATACCTACAAATACAACTAACAAAGGATGTAAAGGACCTCTTCAAGGAGAACTACAAACCACTGCTCAAGGAAATAAGAGAGGACACAAACAAATGGAGAAATATTCCATGCTTACGGTTAGGAAGAATCAATATTGTGAAAATGGTCATGCTGCCCAAAGTAATTTATAGATTCAACACTATCTCCATCAAGCTACCAATGAAATTCTTCACAAAACTGGAAGAAACCGCCTTAAACTTCATATGGAACCATAAGAGAGCCCACAAAGCCTAGACAATCCTAAGCAAAAACAACAAAGCCAGAGGCATTATGCTACCTGATTTCAAACTATACCATAAAGCTACAGTAATCAAAACAGCACGGTACTGGTACCAAAACAGATACAGACTAATGGAACAGAACAGAGGCCTTGGAGGCAATG